AGTCACTAATCATTCTATTCCAATCCTAAATAAAATCATCTCTTCTCCTATCTTTACATCACCTATGGATAAACAATTACTAAAAATGGAGTCTGACACACATACATTTGTATTGGTGCATCCAAACATTGTTTTCACGCACGCTGACAATGCAACGTCATGGTTGCTATGAACAAAGACGCATACATGAATAAAATGATCACATTATTAAGTGACTCAGACGTATGTTCCGATTAAGAAACATCCTACCAAGAAACTTACGACTTTAGATGAGCAAGGTCTATGCTCACTAGATGGAAAGTAAAGGTTATATCAAAGACTCTAATTACAAAGCGTTATACTGTATTGACGGATTACTTCCATGAGTCTATGGATTGCCGAAGATTCACAAGCCTGGTTGTCCTCTCAGAATTATTGTATCATCGATAGGCAGTCCGCTATATTCATTTTGGCTATATATTTGCACAATAGACTATTCAAAACTATTCCTAAAGCGGATAGTTACATTAAAAATAGCTTTGAATTAGTCGAAAAATTAAAAAGATTACACATAATAGGTGCACATAAATTAATTTCCTTAGATGTAACTTCACTTTTCACGAATGTTCCAATGAAGATAGCGGTCGATTGTTGTGAACGAGCAGTGGAGTTTCATTTCTAAGGATTGCTCTCTGCCTAGGGATAAGTTTTTGGGAGCGATACGGTTTGTCTTAGATTCCATTTTTTTCTTTTGATAATCAAATTTATAAGCAAAGCTTCGACACTCCCATGGGCTCTCCTTTATCACCTGTAATAGTGAACCTAGTAATGAGGAGATTAGAAACGGTGTCCTTGATGTCGTTGAATTTGAATATTTTGTTTTATTACAGATATATTGATGATTTTTACTGCGGTGTCTCCCTCAAAAATTGATATTTTATTATATTATAACAATTCAATTCATTTCATTCACGTCTCCAATTTACTACAGAAATAGGAGGAGATAAAATAAATTTTCTGGACACTATATCCATCAACAGGAATCGTTTTATTTTTGATTGGTACTGTAAGTCGACGTTTTCAGGAAGATTTTTAAATATTTACTCTAATCATCCTATTGCACAAAAAAAGGTACAATTTTTTCGTTAGTTGACAGAGTTTTTTTACTATCTGACTTTATGTTTCATACAAAAAATTTTACGTTCATTATTAATATTTTACTAGATAATGACTATCCATTGAATTTTATTTTTGACACTGTTAATCAACGTATTAAAAATTTAATAAAAAATAGACATATAGCACATAATGATTTGGCTGACAATGTCTATGCAAACGAATCTGCTTCTTGGCTTACGGTACCATTTATTCTTCTTCACACGGAAAAATTCAAGCGATTCAATAAAAACGACATCAGGGTATATTTCCATAGTCTTAATAAAATGGGTAAATATATAAAAGTACAGAAGGATATTTGTCCCCATACATCGAAGAGCAATGACGTCTATAAAATATCGTGTAACAATTGTGATGCGTCGTATGTTGGAGAGACGGGCAGACAATTGAAAACCAGAATTACAGAACATCGTAATCATATTAGACATAACACTTCTGTTCGTTCTGTCATCATGGAGCATAGGCTACAGTTTGATCACGATTTCCAATGGGTTAAAGTTAAAATTTTAGATGAAGAGTTGTTATAGAAAACGCTTAATTTCCGAGATGCTCAACATTAAGAAACAGAAAAACAGTTTGAATTTACAAACTGACAAGGTCTTCATAAGGCATATATGGGTAATTCTTTTACAAATCGAACACCTGTCTGATCGACACCTCTTCGATTTGACTGAAACTTTTTTTACGGATTCTATGTCGAAAAAAAAGAGATACGTGTCCGAGGAATTTTTTTTTATTTGCATATTTTCGATAATACAAGTGATCGAACATTTGAGAATGGCAAGTTTTTTGGCTTGGAGACTCATTTTCATAAATCCATAGGTCCGAATCTTTAAGAGCTACAAAATTTTCACCAATTGCACTTTTGTAGCTGAAGGACTGAACTGTAAGAAAAAA